ATAAAATCCAGATCAGGAATCAAAGGTTCATGGTTTTATAGAGCTGTCAGCAGCTAGAGGACTCTTCCCAGTTCCAGTCAAAACTAAAACTACATCACATGTTACAAGCTTGATTGTTGTTCTGTATTGGACCTAAATAAATACATAAAGTTTTAGGTAACATTTTTGAGAATATTACTCATTATAAAGGCTTTTTTGTTTTGGTCTTAAATATAAAAGAAAACACACTTACCAGTGTTTGCATCATTCCTTTGGAGTGGGGGATGACGACCCGGAGGTCTGTCTTGCGGCTGGTAGGGACCATGCTGTTCCCATGAGGTGGAGGAGGAGGAGGAGATTTTGATGGTATGATCTTTCCAAATCCATTCACTAAATACAGACGTGTGGAGGATGTTAAGAAGTGATGGTAATTCAATTCCAACTTTCACTTAAGTGCTGATTCTAGCTGCTTTTTGTAAGAATTTTGCAAAGGATATTTTTTTTGTTAATGGAAAGCATCATGCATATAGCACAAGTTTTAAATATTTAGAGCTTTGGAATGCACTTGAAAATGGAGTGGGGTATTACAGTCTCGTGTATTAGATCCATTAAATCAACATGTCCACAGCCAAGTTCTGCATGCAGACTGGAGAAAGTACAGCTATATATTATACAGGAGATCATCATGAATAATTCATATTTTCTCTCTCTTGGCATTACATAATGGCAGTGTTCCTGAGAAGGAGAGCACGGACATGGCAGGAGGGGGATTATGCAAAGACAGTTTGTAGAAAGGGTTGTGGACCAAAGCATAAGGGCAGAAGAGCAGTAACAAAAACCAGGAGGGATGAGGTGCAGCCAGGCTCCTGGAAGAACACATCCCTCCACTGGCCTTAGCTGACCAATAGCAAATCCATCAGCATCTTACATCAACTCCCACTATTTTAAGAGGCGCTAACAGAACCTCAGAGGAGCCATGAACGAATTATCAGATTATTTCTGTGGAACCTCTTTCTTATATTTCATTCTTTCGTAATTTATTGGCTAATTTTAATCCCTTAACGCCTCTAGAAAGAAAATCAAGAAAACAAATAACTATTTGTTCCAACAGATCACACACAGTTAACACATGCAGCTGCTCACATGGGATCACAAGCAAAACAAGCTTGCAAAGACTGCTTCATATGCAGGGAGTTGTGTTTGTGCGTATGCAGTATACATGTCAGAGCGTGTTTGTTAAACTCCCGTTGGATACATACCAGTCGGTCCAGATCCATTTTGCAGAGCCAGCTCGGAACTGCCCTGCAGGCCACCTGAGGATAAACACAACACACTCGTTAGGATTCGTTATTACATTTTTCTCGCATTTAATGTTCTGCTGTCACTAAGAACCACTCTGCATGCATCCATCTTTTTATCTTATTAGTAAGATTTTAAATAAGACTGCAGTTTTAAGTAAGATTGCTTTAGATCGTTCACTTTCCATCTGCTCAAATGTATTTTCCCCAGCAGGGGCTTTTTCTGTACAATAACATTCAAACTGTTGTTTTTATCAGATACGCTGTCTTCAAATCAATGTTAAAAAAGAAATAAATGGAAATCAGTAATTCCTCCTGCGCAGAATGTTTGCATGGCTCATCTCCTGCATCTCCATTAAAAACTACTATACTGTCTAATTCAAATACATAGTCTCTCTTCTACTCATAATTCTAAGGCTTATCTGGACATCCTTGCACACATTCATTTTCATGTCTCCTCTGAGTTATTGTCATCGGCTCAGTGTGCAGTTTAACAGTAATTTTAATTACCAAAGAACAACACAAAGTTCATATTACTCACCTCCAGCACTCGGGGGTCTTTGTGAAGAGTTTATGTTTCTGTGGAGGTGCGAGTGAGGTGAGGGGAGGATACCACCGTCAGCCAAAGCTGCTGTGGCTGCAGCTAGTGCCTGGGAAGTTGCCCCTCCTCCTCCACTGTGACTGTAGGCCATGCTGCCTGGTGCTACGTGCATGAAGTGCTGTTGATGCTGCTGCTGCTGCTGGCCTGTGGACTAAGAAGGCAGCAAGAGACAAAAAGAGCCAATCAACATTAAAATGAAATACATGAGCTGGTAAAATGCAATTGTCTTTTATCAGTTGTATTGTCTTCATCTTTGTGTCTGTGAGCATGATCACACATATTATCGCCACAGACTGTGGATGGAGGATATATGACTGGAAGGTTCTTAATTAATGACCCTACAGAGAAAATGGGGGTGGGAACAGTCACTAAACAAAATGTTGAAAACCAACAAAAAAAACAAACAACGCAACTTACAATTTTATGAGTCTTCATCATGTTGTCAAACTCTTCATTAATCTTCTTGTATTTTTCTTCAGTATTAGGAGTGAGGACATAGGATGCGTCAGCATCAGGGCTGTCGCAGCCTCTGTGTTCCTTCTTGTTAAGGGCCTGTAGGTGAAATAGTTATAAAGGAGTAGCATTAAAAAAAACAAAAGG